AAAAATTAAGGTAGAATATAATTAATTAAAATAAGTTGTGTAAGTGATTATATTATTACATAATTAATTATAAAAGGTATACAATTGCCTCTTTTGAAAATATAATTGATTATAATTATTTTTCAATAAAAAAAAAACTATGAAAAGAAAATTCTTAAGAAAGTTGGCATATAATTAATTATATTTCCATACAATCAACAATATTGCATTTTGAATTTTGTGTAAAAAAATAAATTTCCTAAGCCCAGCCATTCAACATTTTGAGTTAGATGGTAAAACCCTCAAATCAACCATAAAAAAAATATCAGTAGGAACAAATTCATCCTCACAAAAATGAAAGTATAAATTGCCTCTTCAAATCATAAATCAAGGTAAATCACTCATTTTTCAACGAAAAACGTCATAATTATGTTTGCCATGTCAATATTTTTTAATAAAAAAATTAAAAAATAAGTTATTTATCTTGATTTATAATTTAAAGGGACAATTAATCCCTTCATTTTTGTGAAGGGTGGATCTATTTCTGTCGATATTTTTTAAAAGTTGATTTGGGGTTCTGCCTGTGGTAACTGATTTGGGGTTCTGCCTAGTTAGTTTCCCTATATTCCTTTTTTAGAAAGTGGGCAACCAAACAACTCCTAATATAGTTGATTATCTCCAATCCAGAAGACATTTTCAGGGAAGCTATTAATTTTCTCTAGCCGGCTTGAATCAAGAAATGAAGCTTTCCAGATACAAAAACTGAGGTGAAATGTAATTTTGATTATATATAAAAAAAAAATTAGATATTTTGGAAAGCAATCCAGTTATAAATAAATAGAATGTATTGTAGTAGAGAGAAAAACTCTTTCATTAAAAAATTCTAAAGAGTTTCATTTCAAAATATATAATTGATTATTTTTTTATATAATTGATTATTTTGTTTTTAAAGTATTATAACCAATTGTAAAAGAATATAATTAGTTATATTTATTATTGACTTTTATATCTAAAAATTTATTTTCTTAAGTTAAAACCAAGCTATTTTTATGTATGACTTTTTAAAAATACTTTTTAAATAAGAAGTAACCAAATAAGCCTTAAATGTAAACAAGGTAGGAAACACTTATAGACACCCATGTTATTGTTAAAATAATACTAATAATAAAGAAATTAACTTAGAAAGAATTAATGTAGACATCAATATTTCTCCAATAATTTTGGCTTCAACTAATGGGACTTAGCTCAAAAACATTTATCTTTCTTCATATTTGATAATTTCTGGCTGGTTTGTTGGAGCCAGCCAGTTTTTGGACCATTGATCATGTCAGACAGACGTGTTCCAACCACCAAAACGGTTCGGCCTTTTTAATCACTTTTTTTCTGAGATTGATCATGATTCAGCAGACATGGCTGCTCTGTATATAAAATTATCTTTCTTTTGTAAAGAAAGATTAATATGTATGTGTATCCTTCTCCTACTTCCGGGATCTTCTTATTTTTTTATGCCAAACTAGACAGAATAGACCAAAGGAAGAGGACAAGAATCCATGTGCAAAAGAAGAAAACGCATGGACATCAGATGCCATTGGCAACCAAGAAAAATCAAATTTGGACTCTGCAGCATACAAATATTTTTATTATGAAACTTAATTATCACTTATCAGAACTACCCAATGTCAAAATTATTTATGTGGGACATTACAGGCACCCGATCTGTCGTTTTTCACTTAAAAACTCCTTAGCTGAACATTTTCTCTTTGCATAACTTTCCTTGCCCCATCTTGGTTCCTGCTCCAATGGCTGAAGGTGGTTCAGCTCCGGCAAGTTGGGTGCCGGAAAAGGCAAAGCTGCATATGGCAATGATGGTTTTCCAACTTGGTTATGGGGGGAATCATGTGATCATGAAGATTGCCTTGAACATGGGCGTAAGCAAGCTTGTTTTCCCTTTTTACAGGAACATCATCGCACTGCTTGCGCTGGCTCCTTCAGCATATTTCCTTGAGAAGTAAGTAAATTAAGTTCTTTCAGTGTGATATTGATGAATCATGAATCAGTCTGGAGAAGTTCAAATCTAATTTTATGTACTCATGTACTTCTCCTTGTGTAGGGAAAGCAGACCAAAGCTGACCCTCTATTTTTTGATACAATTCTTTGTCCTTGGATTAATTGGGTATGAAATATGGACAAACTTAACTTGATTTACATGCTATGAACAGTGTTTTCCTGTTTTGCCATTTTTGATTTTCTGTTTTTGGCAGAATAACACTAAATCAAGGGTTTTACATATTCGGCTTATACTATACTTCACCTACCTTAGCTTCTGCAACAGAGAATTCTGTTCCTGCTCTGACTTTTATCATGGCAACCTTACTAGGGTAAGAAGTGTATAATACTCTAGAGTTTGCAAAATTTTGTCTCTGTTAGGCTACCCATGATTGGAACAGAATCTGTTGTTATGTCTTGTAGAATGGAGCAAGTGCATTTGACCAGGAAAGATGGGATAGCTAAGGTTGTTGGGACCATTGTTTCTGTAGCTGGAGCTTTGGTGATAACCCTTTACAAGGGACCAACAATTTATTCTTCAAATCAAACTTCAAACGAATCACTTTTGTTGTCATTTGGAGATGCTGAGGGGAAGTACTGGACTATTGGTTGCATCTGTCTCATTGCTCATGCCCTATGTTGGTCCTGTTGGATAGTATTGCAAGTACCCTTGTTGAAGAAATACCCGGCTCGCTTCTCATTTGTTTCATATTCTTGCTTTTTTGCTGTTATTCAGTTTGGGGCTATTGCAGCATGGATTGACAGAGACTCCCAAGCTTGGAAGATTAGCTCAGCCAGTGAAGTCTTAATCATTCTCTACTCGGTTTGTAACCTGAAACATTAGCACTTAAATTCATGTCAAGATTATTACCCTAATTTGCTGTGCCATGTTATTTAAACTGTAATGCTTCAATAAGATTTGTACACCTGTGGATGATTGATTGAAAAACTTGGTGGCTGCAGGGACTGGTGGCTTCAGCAATGGTTTTTGCAATACAGGTATATGTTGTTGATAGGGGAGGTCCTTTGTTTTTTTCAATGTATCTCCCCCTGCAAACCCTTATTGCAGCTCTCATGGCCACCTTTATTTTGGGTGAAGAATTCTACTTGGGAGGGTGGGTCTTAACATCCATACTTGATACTACTTACCAATTTGGGACGATTCATTGTATTAGAAACCTGAATTTTCTGAATGGGGTTTTTTCAGGATCATTGGTGGTGTGTTGCTTATAGCCGGGCTGTATCTGGTTGTTCTGGGAAAGAATGAAGAAAGCAAGTATGTATCAGACAAGGCCACCACCATGCCCTCAAGTCCTGAAAGTCCAGGAGAAGAATCCTCCATCATCCAGCCATTGCTTCATGATTCTGTCTAACAAATAAAGCATAATAATGCCCTCAGCCTCTTTCCAACCCCACAGATAAAAGTGTCAAATTCTTCAGAATTGAAATCCAAAAACTGGAGGAAACAGGGCATCTACCACGGAATATAGTGACCAAAAGAGAGCTTTACAGAGACACTGGCACGTCAACATTCACTCTGGGCATATGATAGTATTCATGAGATTAACTTTGAATTTGAGCTTACAGCAGAATTTATGCCCCTTTTTTGTTCCTTTGATATTGAATGACACATTTGGGGAGAGAAATTTGAGCTTATAAGAATTTCTTTGTGTTTGCTTCTGTTTTCTATTTTTTTTTCTAGTGCTTTTCTCCATAATCCCATTGCGCTTTGGTCATCTTTATGTTTAGTAAGGTTTTTATATCACATTGTCAGAAAGTACAAAGGGAGAGACACAAATTATAACTTACTAATAAGTTATTTAGAAGTCAAATTCATATTTTGTTCTCCAACATATTTTAAAAATTTGTAAGGGAAAAAAATTAATAAGCAAACTTTCTATTTTATAAGCTCCCCAAAATATGCCCTATAAGGCCTATACATTCCAGAGAAAAACTGCAAAATGATGGTAATTGAATTAAAATAATAACAGGGAGGATGAAAATTTGTGATAAAAATTTAAGATTAATGACATAACATAAATTATATTATTAAATTAATTAATGTTATTGTTTACATTTAAAATAAACTAATAGGGTAAGGTCACGTGTCAAGATAAAGCTCAATTATCAAGAAAATCAAAAAATTAAAAAATTAATTATTAAATAATATAAACTTTACATTCTAATATTTTAAATGATGTAAATTATATCACATCATTAATTTTAAATTTTAGTCTCAAATCTTGATTTTATTTATCATTTTTCATTGAATTAAGAGTTTTTCCAACTAATAATTAGTGTTTTATAATTTGTTGTAATATAAACAGTAAAATACTAGATTTTATTTAAAAAAGAAAAAAAAACAATTAGCTACTATTCCGGCTTGTAACAGTACAAATCCTTGTCCGGATTAATAGAAAACCACAATCCAAACACACTTGCAGATTCCGAGGAGAAGCAAATCAGGAACCATTTTCTGGCTAACGATAACGAATACCGATGCTACACAAGTAAGAGGCTCCAGGTTTTGGTTCGATCTTTCTCCGATTGCCACGCTCGTCGGTCAAGGTACTCTCCGATCTCTTCCTCCCTCTATGTTTCTACGGTAGCCGCGACTTTGGATTTCCTGTTGCGTCTCTCGGTTATCGTTGATTAGGTCGAAATCTTTCTTTGATCTGAATGTGGTTTTCCAGTGATGCTTCAATTTATACCTTAACAGTAACCGGAGACTTCTTTTATGCATTTCATGCTTTGATTGGTGTTTTTAGAATGCTTCTTTTCATTGTCTGGACTCTCAGATTAGTCTCTAGAAAATGTCTTA